TTGCATAATTTATTTTCCAGATAATGATTGTAGGGTCAATCTATGGTGAGGGGAGAATTCTGTGGGTGCATATAATGAAGGCATGTTGTTCGCGAAATATTTCTTTCGATTTAAATTACCGCAAGTGTACGGGTCGTGATAAATAATAAAGTGGACTTTAGAAGTCCGAGTATCGTCCCACAGAGAAAGAGTAGTTCAATTTTATTTACTTTAACCTTAACCGAAACTAATTGATTGAAGATGAATTTTAGAATTAAAAGCCCTAATTTTGGGAGGAATCCCCAAATTTAAAAACCCTAATTTCCAATCAACCCTAATTACTCAAATTCACTTAACAAATGACTCAATTACGAAATGTTATGAAAATAAATGAAATGTATTGTCAATTTATGAAAATCTATGTAAAACGAATGCATTAGGATCACGAATCCCCAAATAATTACTAATTAAACTATAATTTCACAATTTTGATAATCCAATGAGAATTTGATAAAAAAGCATGCTCCTAAATCTATTCAATACTCTCTCTCGAGATGTATTGAACCTATTCTCATAAATCACCAGCCTATATTTCTATGACGGATGCAATTATACAAAAATGTATGTAATTTTATTTTATGAGCAATTAAAGATTTATATAGGGCATAGGGGTATATTTCTATCCCCTATCGGACCCTATGATGAATTATATATGTCGAGTTTAATCCAATTTTCTCAAATTAAGAATTAAACCACCAAAATTCACACAAATTAAGTGCACATTAATTGTGAAAATAAATAAATCAATATCATTCATTCAAATATCCCATCGAACTATGAATTCAAAGTCATGAAATAACAAGTTTAATAATAATTACATGGTTCATCGATCACCTAGTTGCAGAAATCTAGCCTATCATGATAAAAATAACGAAATCTATCAAGTTTTGAATAAAATACATCACCGGGTTATCAAAACTTGAAGAAATCTTGTAAATCTTCGCATCAATCCTTGTTCTTGCCTTCAAATCCTCTCCAAAATGAATGTTTTTGCCTCCCAATTCGTTCATGCGGCTTCTGGATGTTTATTTGCTATTTAAACCCATCGAAATTAGGTTACCAAAGGAGTTGCATTCATATAAGGAAACTGCAAAAATCGAGCACAAGTTATACCTATACGACCATATAGGCATAATCTATGCGACCGCATAGGTATATGAAATATGACGTTTTTAATCCCTGGAGGGTTACTCGCGACCGCATAAGTTTTCTACTATGCGACCGCATGGTAGAGTGAATGTCTAAATTGAGTCATTTTGATCCTCAAGTTTCATTCCTTCACTCCTTGACCTCCTCTCTTGTTTCTAGTTTCTCCAATGTTCTATTATAACTTACAATTGGTGCTTAGCTTAATCAAATGCTTGATGTGTTCATCGGATCAACTTTCAGATAATTGCAATTTGGTCCCTGAATTTTCATTTTGCTCTAATTTGGTCATTTTTCAGCTCTTTTCTCCTGAATTTCACTATTTTCATAGAATCACCTACATTGCATAAATTCGACAAAGTTAAGTAACAATTCAATCATTTTACTTTTATTTAAATCATGTTTGTGATGTAAATAAGTGTGCAAAAATACACTTATCTCATGTTCTGTTGGTGATTAGATGCTTAGAAATGAGAAAGAAAGGAAATCTTCGTGAATTGGAAAATTGTCCTCCAAACTGGCATGCCAATGGTGAAATTAGTCTACCTTTCAGTTGTCACTGAAGAAAGATATTAACAACAAACTTTTTGATATCAAAATACCCTTAACCACCAGCCACTTTTCCCTGAACAAACTGTCCACTAAAATACTAAGGACCATTGTCATTTGTGAGCAGGAAAATTTATTCAATCATTTGATTTTAATGGATAAATACAACCTGTTCTCTCTTGCAGAAGTATAGGCTTTACCTGAAAAGGATCAGTTCAGTTGCAACCCGACAAGCGAACATGGCTGCAGCACTAGGGATTAAGGATTCTCCTTTTATGCGTATGAGTTCGTTTGACGGGCTTGGAGATTTCCCAACTTTGGCTGGATCGGGAAGATTTGCAAATGCTGCTTTATCTCCTTATACAACAAGACTAAATAGTCCTGCTGGTGTAAACCTTCGTAGCCTTACTCCTACACTCATCCAACCAAATGTTGCACAAAACTACAGCAACTCCATCAGTGCTCTTGGGAAAATTCATCCAGCCATTTCAGCTGCAAGCCAAAATGCAAGTTTATTTCGAGAAATTCCATCGTCATTGGAACTGAATCCGTTACAACAGAGTGGGTGCACCACTGGCATTGGGAATTTCAATTCTATGAATGACACGAGAATTTTAACAGCTTCCAGTACATTCAAAGGCCCCAGAGCAGCAGTTGGTAGCTCAAGCAACTCTTTAATCCCTGCTCCTAATAATCCCATGGTACAACATGGGGACTCCCAGCTAACACTGAATGGGGGAGAATTTGAAAATCAATCTTCTCTCAGTATGGTTCCTTTTAACTCTGAACCCTATAACATTGGTGTCAATTGTTCCTCTAATTTTCCAGATAATGGTAAATATAATGAGACCTGGCAGAGTGCCAACCAATTGCCTAAGTTGCAGTCCATTTCGTTGCTTTCTACTGATCCGTTTCATGGTCAGATTGCTCTGAATAGGGTGAGAGACAATAATTCTTCGAATGATCCTCAATTACATTACAACCTACTTGATATTTCTTCCACCACCATGGTTTCAGCATCTCTTGAAGATTCAAGAGAGGTTCAATGTCAAGAAGGTATGGTTGGCAATGTTCTTCAAAATATGAGCCAA